CGATTCCTTCTCGTTATTTGTTGAAATTCGATTACTTGATGTAGATCACACAAGTTTATCCTATCACGTTGGGGACTCCCTTGTAAGACTCAAAAAGTGATTGTAAGACCCTTTTTGCTGAATGGAGAAGGGGATGATGGAGTGAAGACTCTGCCCTTCTATACTATCAGATAACAAGACCCACCAAGCTTAGCTTGGAAAGTTTTAATCAAGTGATAGGGTAAAGTTCAGGAATGAGTTGTGTGATGAAGAGTGTTGATTTGGTGTTTGGTTGGCGCTTTTAAAGTGTTTGTGTAAGGTGGTCAAATATTGCTTGAGTGTTACTTGACTGAGGATTAAACAACTGGGAGGAGAGCCTCCTTATATATACAACAGTGAGGGAATTTAGCTCCAGGGCAGCCAGTAATGAGTGATTTTGGCTGGCCTGGACTATTACATGAGGCATTTTAGCTACATACAAATTTTGAATGAGTGAATGTGATTGGTCAGACATGTACAAGAGTTGAAGTGGTGATCCAAGCAGCTGAATGAGTGATTCTGATTGGTCAGGTTCTGATGTGTTTACAAGTGAGTGTGGTGGTGTAAGCTGCAGCTGTCATGCAAGGAAAATACACTAATTTAGGCTGCAGGTATGATGTAATATGTAAAAGTGAAATGTAAAGAGTGTAGATGTATGTAAATGAGTGTATATGTAAATGAGGGTGTACTGCACTGAGGGTGTCTGTGTAGCTTGAGGGTTGTAATTGGGTTTGGTGATATGTAATGATGGGTGAAATCCTTGTGATATGTTGTCCAGTGTTGGGTAAGAGTTGATCCAGGTGTGTTCCAGTGACGCCTCCGTGGTGACCAAGGGTGAATTTGTCCGTAGAGTCCAGTTCATGAGCCGTATGTTATTAATTCTGAGAGTGATTGGGTGATAATATGAAGAAATATATATATAAGAAAAAGAAATGGAAAAAACTTTGAATTTTCACATTTGTGACTACCACACCGGTCTTTTTATTCATAAACTCACGGGGGGCTCTGAGGATGTCAAGGTTTAAAATGAAGAAGAACCGATGGTGATCATTTCTTGTAACTTAGTCAGTTTAAATATACTATGTACAAGATTGATCAAGATGTGGTTGAGAGAATGAATAAGAAAAAAAGAAATCAATTCAATATGATATGCATCAACAAGAGAGTTCACAGACAAGAAGATAAGTTTTAGCTAGAGAGCTGATAAGCCCTTTTTCTTCAGGGTTCTTTGACTACGAGAAGGGGGTCAGACATACATAACTAGGCTAAAAACAGACTATAATGAGTGAGAAAATCAGGTAATGAAATCAAGAATGAAAAGTGATTTTTGGGATGAGTAAAAAATAGTATCAGAATTTCAACAATCATTTGCAGAAATAAGCTGTTCAATAAATGAACAAGAAAGAAACAAGATCTTAGCTTGTGAATCGAGCAATGATGTCATTGACATCATGAGCAAAGAGAATAACGATGATCATGATCAACCATCAAGCTCTTAGTGAGTTTTGATTGATTGTATCAGAGGAGCAAGATTGTGAACAAAGTCATCAAACAAGTTCTACTTCTTCCCTTACTCAAAAATCATCCTTATTTTTCTTTTAGTTCGCACTCGCACAAGTCTAAATATCACAAACTCATCAATTGTATATTTCCACCGATAGTCGGTGAGTATAGAATAAACCTCAAGTGCCTTTTTCTTAAAGAAAAAGAGAAAGTAACAACTTGCTGAGTTATTCTCAATTCTGACAAAATTGCAATAGACTCTTCAGGCGATTAGCTTGATACAGCTGTTACTCAAACAAGCGATATCTTTTCATCTATAAAAGTATAGTATTTCTCTATGATTAAGCAATAAGAGCAATGAACAATTTAGGCTAACAACGTAATTTTCTTCTGATAATTTATTCTGTTTCTATAACAGTTATCTGAATATTATCTTAATTATCCGAAGTTATTTTTATTCTCATTCTCATCAAGCCTTACTATTATCAGAAAATATCAGATTGGTTCTGCCTTCAGGTATCGCTCTTATTTCTTTATCATCTTTTATCAAATTAATCATTTGTATTTTATTAGAAAGATTATTTACTTATAAAAGAAATGATACTTCAGTTTCAAATTCTTTCATAAGTGAATGCAACAAGCCCTTGTATTCTTTTCATAGGCATTCACAATGGTACTGAATCGACAAGATGCAGGCTTGACTTTACAGTATTGTTGCGCCAACAGATCTGTCAAGGTGAGTCAGATAGTTTAACAAGCCATTTCTGAAAGAGCATCCCAGTATTCTTTGCTCTATTTTGGATTATAGCCTTTTGAATTGACGGGGTGAGAGGAGGAGGTGGTAACGTCCTTCAAGTCTTTTTTTGGACAAGGTAGAGTTCCTTTTACGATGTCTAGAGTATTTTGCATTCAAAGAACGTCTTCAATACAAGAGCGCCATTGAGGAAAGACAGATACAGTTCCATCCAACAACTTGACAGTGAAGATCAAGGAGGATACATTCTGTACTTGACAATAACTGGACATTCTTTGAGTTATTCAGAGATGCCAAATGGCTGGATGTGATTGACAACTAGCTTGAGAGGAGTAATTATAGTTGATTGATGACAAATAAAAAATTGAGCAGATGTAAGAGCAAGACTAGAAGGGTCTCATAACCTGTTGAGTGGCACCAGGGACTGAAGCTACAACTGAAGTCAATACTCAAAGGAGGAACTGACAGTGAGAATATATATGGTTGATTTCAGTGAGGAGAAGGTATTGAGTAGAAGTCTGGTAGCTCAGTCATACTGGGAAGCTTGTTATAAGCATAACTAAATATAAGAATACAAGTATTACACAATGGGACTGGCTAGTCCAACATTTCATCTGTGTGCAAACTTTTTTTTTTTGAAAAAACAGCAAGCATATGCAGAACTTCTGCATACTATCTGTTGCAATTTTGCAACACATAAATCACAACTCATTAATGGGTTGCACACTAATGGTTGCAAATTTCCTTGAAGCAAGGCAAAAAATACAGTTTTACAAACCATATTTGTTGCAGCACATAAGATTTGCAAGATATGTGCCACAAAATTATGCTACATGGGGCTTTGTACGCAATTTTGAGGGCCTTTTTGCACAACCCTTTTTTCTTGCTACCCATATTTTTGGGTGATGGTTTGCATAATTCCACAAACCCCCGGGGTTTTTAGAATTTTACAAACCATCTGTCTTGCAAAATATGATTTGTAGAATTATAGTAACTCTCAGTATATGTAGTGCGCTCAATGATTCTGGGCCAGCGTGATCAATGCTCTTGAGGCTGCCGGGGAAAATCAGACCTGGCAGAACTTGCCGCTGTTCAGTCCAACAACATCCTACTGTTGGCCAAAGGGTGACAGCGAAAGCTGGCTCATAGACGGCAAACCCCACATGGCCTGCGTATGTAGCTGCAGTCAGTGGACAGGGTCAGAAAATACACCTCGCTTTCTTTTCTTTGCAAATCTATAAGTGCATATTTTAATCATGTGATATTCTTTCATACATGCTTGTTTTGACGTTGCACCGATGACCAGTGTTTTTGTCGGTCAATCCACATTCTCGATATGTACACAATTGGCTGTTTCGTCGAAAACGGCCTGAAGATCAGTTGAATACAGTGAGATTTAGAGTCAGCGTTGCATTTACCTGGCAAGGTTCAATCGTGGCTCTAACCTTTTCTCCACTGATAGCTTGCTTTGAATCTATATATTCTAGGGTGTTCTCTTTTGGTCAATCCTTTAGTCCATTCCTTTGATTTTGTCGAAAAAGATCCTAGAGGAACCCAATGAGTTTGCTAGATCTCCCCCTTGCAATTGTTGCATTGTTGAGCCTTGTTTCCTATTTAGAATGTCAACCACATTTAACACCCCCAAGTACAAGCGACTCAGGTACTATTCCGTCAAACATCACGACACCATCGACAGTAGATTCCTCCATAACACTCGATTTTCGAGATCCCTGTGCTCAGCTACCGCTCACACCCGACTTGTGGCAGTCTCTGGATCTCGATAATTATTTGAAGAGCTTTCCCGACGTGGAAAGGTTATCACTTGAGGTGCGCAACATTCGCGTTTTCACTCGCCTTTAAAAAGGCTAAAACTCCTTACCTTGAAACACACGCGCCTTGGGACAAACGCACTCCGAAATCATAAATTCATCCAACATGTTCAGCTTTTCGCAGAAAAGGCCGGAGCCACCAACTTCGAATGTGGAATCGGAAAGATATGCGACGCTAATCAGGTCTGGATTCAACTGACTGAGCTGAATGAAAAGGCGATCAAAATCCTGATTTGGTCCTTTGCAATAACAGATATGCTTCCCAGTCCGTGGTCGAGATTGGTATATCCTTGTTGCTGCCCAAAATTGGAATTCATTTAGCAATGAAATGTACCGGGCAATGACTTTTGCTTTGAGTATCGTTGGAGGTGAATTAGTTTCCAGACTTTTCGCCATTAACCCTCCAAATTGACTTCGATGTTAACCATTGGGTTTTTTGTCTACGTGAATCATCTAAATTTTCAACCTCGTAGGCTTGGCCTCATCCATCGTGAGATCTCACCTCTCATTCCAATCCCAAAAAAAGGATTCCAAACAGCTCTTACTTTTCTGACTTGTTAAATTCCGCATGCATTATTTAGGTCAATGATTACGCGCCAAAAGAGCCTGATATTATCATGATAGACCAACAATTCTGGGGTATACTTGTGGGTATATGTGGAACCATACCCGGATTTGCCTTTCCAGAGAGATTCGCCTATTTCGGGGCTACAATTTGGCCTGTTATTCAGGGTGGCACAGGGCTTGCGGCCAATCTTTTAAACACATACCATAACGTAATTGCTACGCTTCCGACTGATGAAAGCTCAAAAGTTAGTACCAATTCATATCGCAAGCGGAGACACGAGTGCTGGCAGAAGTTGACCACTCGTGAAGTGAAAATTTGACAATAGACTATGGATGTGCAATATCTATTATCAAAAGCTCAAAAGCAAGTCCAAGCACAGCTCTCAAACTCCATGAATCGAACCATCTCAGAAGGTATCAGCACAGACAAAGGATTGTATGGGGTCTTGAAGGGGGGAGTATTCCTCAACGATCAATTCGTCACTGCGGAACGTTCAGAGGATGAAATAAAAGCTGCAATTTCAGTGGTAGCTCGGGCACGACTCCTTGCAGCTGTTTGGAAAGCAACTGTGAGTAGATAATTTGTATAAAATATTTCTCATGAAGGCAGGCTTGATACAACTGAACATTTGACTTCTGATATTTTACTCAACAAGCAGAATCATTTCATAATACGCGGATATGTGAGTTCTTACACTGATCTTTCCATAATTCCTGCAACTTAGAGAAACCCTTCAGTTTACAAAATGCTATGTTGCAAAATGTAGAAACCATGCACTCAAGATGGACCAAATGGCGCGTTGCCCGATGATGATGTGTTTTCCTATTGCAGCCCAGATGGAATGTGAATTCAAAAAAAAAGTCAATCTACACATACTCTACTGATTCTTGATGCTTATTTAGAATGATGAATGTTGTGCAATCACACAGAGGAAAATTGCTTCAAAAATTTCCATCAGCACATTTACTTTCCCCCAAGTACAACCTCACAACTCAGTACTTTGTTGAGCAATCTTGGAATTGTCAAGACAAGTATGGAAGTTACAATTATGATCCATATAAGGGAAAGTAAGTCCATAACCATATCTTTTTCATTCAAATGGTACATCATTAGAAATCCTGACACCGGTTGATTTTCTTGTTGAAAACAATGCTGTGAATATTCTCATTCAGAGCACTTCCTGCAAACCCCGACGCTGAATGCATTGTTAGCCTGGCAGTTTGTGATATGACTCGAAAAGGTACATAATAAATTTCTAATCCTACTGTTCCTTATCTCATCATCAACGCACAATCTCACATGTTTCTTTTTTGCTTGCACACAAGATATACAAAAGATGGCAAAGAAGAAAGGAATAGTCAAAGCTTGCCGGGAGGTTGGGGGGCTGCCAAAAATATAAAAAAGCTTCATAAAGCAATACTACCCCTGGCCGTGCTGGACAGTATTATGACAGAAAATCTAATAGTCCATTTGGAATCTTCACCAAAAACAAAATCCACGTGGCAATAATTGCTTCAATTATCTTATCTAGCAATAGGGAATTCTATAACTCTTAACCAATTCTCAGGCATAGTCTATACTATCAAACGCAGGATATAAAAGCGGGCTTTGTCAAGCGTGAACTGAAATGAAACACATTTTTCTTTTAATCATGAATTCAAGGTGTACTTCCCCAGGCCAGACTGGAGGGCACGAATTTTTCAATCACGTCTAGTAGCCCACCGGGAAAAGGCTGTTGTGACTGTATATTGTGCTTGTTGGCTCATTGAGCAATGACAAACCGCTGCAAGCAAACGAGCTGAGATTGATGGCAGCTACAAATGCGTTTTCGCTCGCACTTTATAAATAAAAGTGCATTAACCTCCGACCTAAATGATCCCTGATTCCCTACGACGCGGTACCCACAACACGAGGGCGTTAACATGCGCCTTTCCAAAACCAATCGACCTTCAGGTTGTGGGGATGTACATACCCAGTCACATTAGCGATTGAAATGTTTTCTTTCAAAATATGTTCATGAAACCCCCACAAACCTAAGGGCAGTACTTTTTTGAAACCCCCGCATGATCGGTAACAATTTTTTGAAGGTGTTTCAGGGAGCCCCGAGCAAAAAGGCTTTTAGTACGGAGTCGATTAGTGTATGCATCTACAGGTGAAGCATATATGTACACAAGCATCCGCGCTCATCCAGGACCACGCCCTCCGCAGACTTCTTCTGCTCCCGGAAACTCCCTCATGGCAGAATGAGATTGCTTATTGGAAAGATAAATGTACATTTCCTGTACAGCTGGCGCTACGTAATTTTTGGATCTGACGTATGTATCCATGTGTTTTGCCAAACGATGAAAAGGTTTCAAGTTTTCGTCACGATAAGTGTGACCTTGACCTGACCTGTCGGGCTCTGCCTCCCGAGCAGGCCGTCTGCCAGCCGACCTGCCCAATCGCGCAGCTCAGGGCTTTCCGCCGTCCTATTTTCCACGGCGATGTGGGTAATGCCTTGGGTACTTCATGCTTGCAGTGCTGGGGTCCAATATTTCCACTAGCCATGCCGATGTGGGATTTTTACAGACTGTACACATTAAGAGTCTGAGTGTTTCAGTTGCTACTTCAATACCTTTTCTGACACTCGCTATGTATCAGAAACAATTTTTGTTTTTGCTTTTCGATGATACAAACGAAGTCGGTCCAGGTCCAATCACGGCACATTATTATACTTCTTGCGTTTCTTTTCTTCCCACCCTCCGACCCTCTTTAACCCACTTTCTTTATGCATGTATAATAATAAGATACTCAGAAAACCCGATGCCTACGCTTAATCTCGCCCTTGCAATCTTAGCTCTGTTAACCAGGTTTTCTTCTTTTCAATGTCAACCAAGTTCGACACCTTCAAGTCCAGGGGGCCCGGGTACCATCATTTCCAACGTCACGACTCCTTCAACTAACACGTCTCTTTCAACAAACACATCCCTTTCAAATATCACATCTCTGTCAAATGATACATCAACCGACTTTCGGGATCCTTGTGCACGACTACCACTGACACCTGAGCTGTGGCAGTCTTTGAATCTGGACGATTATTTAAGGAATTTCCCTGGGGGAAAGAATTTATCGCTTGAGGTGTGCAGGTATTCCACAGTTTTTCACGGGCCTTGGCTTTCCACCATTTTGAAAACATGCATCATCTTATGCCTGCGTGATGTTTAGTTTTTTGCCGAAAAAGTAGGAGCCACTAACTTTGAGTGCGGGATTGGGAAGATGTGCAACGCTAATCAGGTCAGTGTACAATTAAGCTGAAATATGCAGCTATCAAATATCTGATTTGAACCCCTTTTCACACCAGATATGCCTGCCAGTTCGTGGTCGGGATTGGTATATCCTTGTAGCCGCTCAGAATTGGAATTCAGTTAACAACCAAATGTATCAGGCTACCGCTTTCGCACTGAATGTCATAGAAGGTCAGCTCCTGCTGAAGCCTAAGCTTCTGCTGAAGCCTAAGCTTCTGCCAGTCCTCCATGAAACTGATATGATCTCACGCCTGGCATTTATTATCAACACGGGCTTGTCCTCCTGATATTCAATTTTCACAGGCTTAGCTTCATCCATCGTAAGATTTTACCTTTCAATCGATTGAATAATTTCAGCACTGGTCACTGCTCACCATTGCTGAGGTATGAATATAACAGGTCAACGATTATGCGCCACATCGACCCGATGTTCTCATGATTGGTGGTACCTTCATGGGTGACGTTGCTGGTCTCTTTGGAGCCATCCCCGGATTCGTTTTTCCGAGTATGATGGCCTTCTTTGGGGGTACACTTTGGCCGTTCATTCAGGGTGGTACCGGTTTTGCGACTGGTTTGTACTGGACGTACCACAATGTATACGCTAAGCTTCCATCCGATGAATTTTCAAAAGTAGGTTTGCGCATATTGATATCACAAAACTAGATATTTTTATTGGTAAGATTGACGAGCCTTGATGTGAACATTTGATAAAAGACGATGGATGTGAATTATTTGCTATCAAACGCCCAATCGGAAACGCAAGCAAAGCTCTCAGACGCCACAAAAAAAGTCCTTGAAAGCGGCATCAGCACGGATGAAGGTCTATACGGCGCCTTGAAGGGCGGAGTATTCCTCAATAATCATTTCTCCGCTACAGAGCGTTCCGAAGATGAAATAAGAAGTGCAATTTCAGCCGTGGCCCGAGCGAGACTTATAGCAGCTATTTGGAAAGCCACTGTGAGCAGAAAATTGTTGTCTTTTTCTTCTTCTACTTGAAAGGCATTGATATAACGAGAAAATATTTTTGCACTTCAAACAAGCAGAAGTATTTCATAATAAGGGGACATGTAGGCCATTTATCTGATATTACGCGCCCCCTAATCATCCCCAAAATTCTGAGCCTTGATCTGCCATGGCGGCTGAATTTGCAGAAACCATGTACGCAAGATGGACCGAATGGCGCTTTACCCGGTGATGACGTCTTTTCATATTGCAACCCAGACGGAATGTGATTTTTTCCAACTTTTCTATTGAACAGAAAGACACACAACGTGCTGATTTTTGATGTATTTTAGGATGATGACAATTGTGCAATCGGAAGACGGAAAACTGCTTGAGAAATTCCCATCGGCCAACTTACTTTCCGCCAAATATAACCTCACAACACAGTACTTCGTTGAGCACTCTTGGGATTGCCAAGAGAAGTATGGAAGTTACAGTTACGACCCATATAAGAAGACGTAAGACCAATCCCCACATTTTTCTTCTAGGAGCTGGAAAACACTTGAGATGTTCAAATTGACTGATTTTTAAAACTAATTTTCTGGCCTTTCTTGATCAGAGTGCTTCCAGCAAACCCGGACGCCGAATGCATCGTGAGTCTAGCTGTCTGCGACATGACCCGGAAAGGTAATAAAATTTCACTTCAGTTGTTTTAAACGAGATGCTCCATCCAAGTGCTCAACGGTCCCTTTTTTAACACATGAAAGATATCAGAAAGGCAGCGAAGAAAAACGGAGTGCTCAAGGCTTGCCGAGACGTTGGGCAGCTGCCAGGTATTTGAAGCGTCATGTATCAAAATAGAAAGCAGTTCAAGAAGTAGAACATTTTACAAAAATATAAATAAAAATCTAAAAATCCTAACACAAGAGGGTCTCCCTCTTCTCTCTTGAACTTCAAATTGGCAATAAAAATGTATTATCATACTTGTGAATACGTACTGAATTGAAACGTGGCGAATCCGTCGCGCAAGCGACTAGGCTTAGATTACAGCCCAAGGCACCGTTAACGATTTAATGTTTATAAAAGCCTAATTAGCACGATGACATTGAGAGAAGCAAATAAATAAAAAAGAGTTGACTGTTACCTCTTGATTGACGGCTCAGGTTCGCGGTTGCAGGGCTTTCCAGATTCAGATGGGCTCAGTTATGACTGTCGGAGCGAGTGTTCCCTCCTGATCCATTGGTCATCGTCGATGTGATGTCAATACTGTGTTGCTGACTTGCAAAACACATCAATGTGCTCCGTGTCGCTAAATACTATGTATCTCGGTGAGGCTGAGGGTCAAGCAGGAACGTCCGAACTTAACTACGGAGGCACTCGCGCCGCGAGCCGAGGGACTTGATTAAGTTCGAGGAACGACGTCATCTGGAGGATGGTTCATCTCCCACACTCCCGGTAATAAGCCGTCGGGAAGATTGGTCCAACCTGGCATCCGGCTGATTTGGTCAGGCCGTGTTTACCTATGTCCATGTGGGTCGATGTATGTACAATCCGGGTACATTTCGGCACGAAACTGGCCGGACAGAACACCTAGCCACGCTGAGACTGGGCCAGTGGGCATGAGTACGATTGTCGATTCCTAGAGAAACAAAACCTTGTGTGATGACTAGAGAGGGTGGATGACTTGTTTGAACGGCTCCCTCCGTCTATTTCCCCTGGTCTTCCGTCGGGCGTCTACCCCCCCCCCCCCCTTCCCGTTCGACCACGAGCAGGAGTAAAACAACCTGGCAACCAGCGTCCATGAGACGAAGTGGCTCAATCTGACAGAGATCTCGTATATGACCATCCGCTTAGAGGGGCAGGGCTATAAAACCAGCTTACTGAAGAAAATATACCCAAGTTCTTTTTCTTCACCTTCATTCATATTCTTCTTTGACACCTTGTGTTCTTCAGAAAAATACTTTCTTCTTCGCGTCAATCACTGTTAGCCAAGACGAGTCGTCTTTTTCGGAAATCATTTTTTCCTTCACTGGTGCAGCACTTTCGCTTGGACAAGATATTCCACTGGACCGCTTGTTTACTCAGAACTAGCTCCAATCCTGGACCTACCGTTTTAATCTCACTTATTTCGGCATTCATCTTCGCGATGCAAGTCTTTTTTGGACATTTGTTTATTTATTTGGTGCACGCTTCTTTCTATTTGGAAAAATTTGGTGCCTCTGCGCGCACAACTTCTATCACTGATGCAGCTTCAAGCTCTTCACAAATCCAATTCAATGGACAATATCCACCTACAAACCCATCTTGTAAACCTCTTCCTATAGTGAAAGACACTTGGAATCAACTGAAACTAAATGAGCACCTCAAGCAGTACCCCGGTGGTGATAAAATGAATTTGATAGTAAGTCATTTCTATTTGCCTGTGTGAACCTCCATCATCATCTCTACTGATGGCAACAAGCCCATGCTTTCTTAATCGATCATTTCTGACCAAAGGAATATGCTACGAAGCTCAACATAACCAACTTTGTCTGTGGTGTCGGAGGCGCTTGTAATGCCGGACAGCCTTGTTACCCACTTGAAACCGTCGATTGGTACATTTTATTTGCGGTTCAACAGTGGAATTCTTACATGAACGTTTATTACGAAGCAGCGGGTTATGGAATTGCAATCGTCCAATGTGAGTTTGTGTTAGGGTGGAAACCCCCTACGTCACTGCTTGAAAACTTTTCGCGCTAGAATTGTTGTTAACCAGCTTTATTTTTTTTTTTTTTTGGAAAAATATAACACATGATTAACAGCAAGCATCAATGCATTAATAGCATCACTGTAAGAAATAGGGATTTCCTCATTGGTTTTTACTTCCGCTAACTAATTTTATCCCTCTTCATAAAAACACTGTCCCATTGCAGTTTTCCTGCAAGTGACACCACAGCGATACAGAACGTCAAGGCAAACCTTGGAATCCAGGCATCCTTGTCACAAGTGACTGGAACAGGTAAATTTTTTCTTCTTGATGATCACTTCTAGAAAGCAAGTTCTTCCAGATACTCGAATTTCAATTTTTCACCTTTCAAAAATGAAGGGTTTCAGAACAAGGAACCTGATTCTTTTGTGTCATTTTTTTTTCGCAGTGATGATGGATTTCATGCTTGCTATTGGTTCAACATCTGGACCCTGGTTTGCTGCTTTTGATATCCTCAACTTTCTCCTGACAGCAGTACAAGGAGCTGCCGCGTTTGCGATCAAGGAGCCGCCAGCTCCTCTGCAAGATGGGTTTTACCAGGTAAGTGGTTCCTACTTTGTGCGCCATATTTCTGTTGTGCTCACTATATGTCCTTTGAAAAGTGGTCGAACGTGGCTTATTATCTCTCGCAATACGAGGATGTTATCCACAAGAACCTAGCCGAAGAAGGCAAAAGAAGGATCGCCGCCGGAATCAGCACCGATCAAGGTATATTTGGGATTGTCAAGGATGGGACCTTCTTAGAACCAGCGAATTTTCCTTCACTGCCTGAATTGGAAGAACAGATTCGTAATATTACTTTAGCGTTGGGCGTGAACATGTTATTGCATTCAATCGTAAGTCCCAAATGCAATGTTGTGAAAAAGTGCTTAACCTGAATTTGAAACCGTGGTTCTCTCCAAAAAAAGAATGCATTCATAACTGTGGGCTCAGACGTACGTAAAACCATCTGAATGTGTTCTGGGCATCATAAGTTCAAAATTTGAATTGGCCTAATTACCATTTTCTACACGTTTTGTGGACGTAGCCCTGCAACGACAAAGGGAAAAACGGCGCCTGGCCCGAAGGAACACGCCTTTCGTGGTGTGACAAGCCTGGTGGAACGTAAGAAAAACAAATTTAAATAATCAAGTAGACATACAAAGAATGCATTTTTCTGATTTGATTTTTGGTCAAATTTTTTTGGAATATTTATCCAGGATGCATAACATTGTTATTGCAAAGGATGATAAGACGCACAATGATATCAATAATGCCAATGTCATAAATGATTCCTTTTCAATAAGTACTGAATTGATTGTCACTTCATCAATCAAATGTCAGAACTTCAACAAAGGTTGGAACTACGTTCCCTGGGCCCAAGACAAGTAAGCAGTAGCTACATGTAAGAAGCTACCTTGCCTTCTTGGTGCTTGGTCTCACATTGGATTTGAATTTATCTAGGGGAGCTTTGCCTAAAACTGCAGATTCAGACTGTGTTTTCAATCTTCCAGTCTGCTATACTCAAGATGGGGGTATGTCCTTGTCTTAGGTTTCATATTTGATGATTGCAACTGATTCCAGTTTTCTTGCTATTAAAAAAACAGATGTGCATAAGAAGATACACAAGAAAAAGTGGACAACAGCCAAAGCTTGCAAGCATAGTGGCCTTCCCCTGGAGTGATGAAAAATTCAAACTTTCAGAAACTCCGGGTATAGATGTGAATTCATCTCTCTTTCACCCCTTTGATACAACAAAATTTAACTGGATATTAAGATTGGCTTCAAGGACAACTCAAATTATAAGGAATCACCACTGCAGAAAATGAATTTTGTAAATCCTCAGGAATTGTCAGGTCAATTTGGATGGAAATTCAGATCACATAGTTCTGTCTAAAAAAAACTCAATCATGAGCCTTTTTGCTTATTTTTTGCAAATTCTCATGGAAAAAGAAAATCAATTTCAAGCTTAAGTATATTCAATGTGGGGGCTTGTGGTGTGAATAAAAGATGCCTTTGTTTTGAAGTCAAATAATAAATCCTACTTAGATATGACAAAAAATGGGAGGGTTGAGACCAGACTGGGCCTCATGGGCAAGAAAAGAAATTTGGTCATCTTCACTATGACTATTCATGTTTTATCAAACAAATTGAATTTCACACTTGTCTTCCCAATTCTTTTTTTATTTTTTGGAAAGATGTCAAAACTTTTGGTAAAGCATACAAAAAAATGGAGGACTTCCCATCAATTTTTGTAGACCCCACAGAATCAGATTTAGTCCCACTGAAGTCAGATTTTTCAGGGAAATCTGATTCAAGGGGATACAAATCTGGTTTTCTAGGGACTACAGAACCAATGGGAAGTCCTAATGTGTGGACTGGAGGTACTGAAATGCAATATTGGCCAAAATAAATATGTATATATTTGAAAACTGGCTTCCAGTAACCTTTGTCATAGTGCTTTGCAGTCCCCCAAGCATGAATTTACCATGAAAATAGGTTGCTGCTGGCTATGGAAGGCATACACCTTCCGTGCACCCTCCTACAGCCTCACCTTTAATGACTGGTATCATACCAGCCTAAGTTAATCAGCTCTTTATTTTGTCTTCATGTAGAAATCTGTACACTCATATCAGTCCAATATTAAATGAGAGGAGTCACCTCCTCCCAAAAACTGAGGACAAATTCATACTGTTCCACCAGAAAATCAAAAATGAGGAGACCTTCCTGCAAATGTTTCTTTCAATTTTTTGAAGGTCTCTTATTGAAGCTCAATTCCAATCAATTTTGTTGGGTGTGTTATTTATTTGATAACTAGATTTCTCATCAATCTTTTTCAATTTGTGTCAGCTAGGTTTTGGTTCAGGGGCCAACTTCCAAGTAGCAATACAACAACCAGTAACCCTAACTTACACAGGCCTCCGTGGGCTATAAACATCTTGAAGCTCTGTCACATAGCCTGCCCCAATCCTGCCCTATCCTGTCCCCAAAGAAAAAGCGATTCATTTTGAAGAAATGAAAATGGCCAAAAAGGGCTTGATAGCCCAAAAATATAGGTTATGTGTGGCCCCCGCTCTTTTCTCAAAAGTGGCACTGGAGACGCTCTTTGTAGCTCGAGATGTCGTGACCGTCGTGATGGTTTCGGGATTGATGTGTGTACCCCGCACCTCGGCTCATTGCAATGCCGAAAAAGCCCTTTCCTAAACTTAACGAAGGCCCTTGGGTTTCTTGGACTGTATTCGATTTTCTTGCCGAGTTGTCCCTGACTCCCAGCCTCTCGGCTTTCCCACAATCCTCTTTCAGTTTGTTTCAGATTGATATCCACATAGGGAGGCATGATAGCAGCCTCTGGCCCCTTCTGGTTCTCCTAGTTACACCGCTTCTTCCAAGTTCCTGAGCGTTCCGCAATGTGGCAGTTGATGTGTACTCCGGTCCAGCTGTCTCCCAGGCTTCCTAGATTTGGTATCCTTGTCTGCTTTGTGGAATTCGAAAAATCCCAACTTGTGTGCGAATCACGATATCTGACCTGGCGCCCCCACCCTTGTTGTGTTGCAACATACACCTGGAGATAGCATGACCTGAGCGGATCAATTCAAGTTGCGCATATATCCTGCTTATTCCCCCAGTCCACTCATCTTTCACATTCTTAAAGCACTTCTTCTGCCCGCAATCTTATCAGGCCCATTCTTCTTCACTGTGGATAATTCCGAGTCCTCATCAGCTGCCAAACTCATGAAGCCAGGCTCAATGGCCTGGGAAACATACCGAGCTGGAATTCATGGCACATCTTACACATCACCCGCCACGATCATTGCCGTTTTGCTTCTCTATCATTCATTTGTTTCCTGTTTCTCAGAACTTTCTCGACCTATTCTTGAGCATCGGGCTCTTCCCGCCAGTAAAGTTCGTTCAATTATTTCCCCCTTACTCATTCAGTACCCAACGCAGTTGCCCTGACCCTTTCCGATGACAGTCAGATCCTGGATCAAACTCAACATCGCTTCAAGCATCACATTATATCAAGTAAGTTCGATTTTTTTTCAGCTGTCAAGCTCCCAAACAACTTGAACTCACGTATTGGTAAACTACAGAAACACGTTTTTGCGCTCCAACCTGAAAGAGAACCAAACCGGTATCCCTTTATCGATTCAATTCACGGTTCTAGACACCAATTCTTGTGCGCCAGTTGAAAACGCCTTGGTAGAAATCTGGGGTCAGTCACATCTTATATTGGGTACTTCGACCCAGTATGTATTATTCACACACTCTTGATAACTCATTTCAAATGTTGGAACCTCGCATGCACTAGGCTCTGACACTCATGGCGCATATTCCGGAGAATCATCTGGCGCCAGTCCTTCCCAGACTGTTTGCTCGTCGTGGCTAAGAGGAGGGTTGGGCACAGGTACGCTTATTGGTCGTGCCGACATGATTGTTATGAATATGATTCATGCTTGGTTTAATTATTTGTTGATTCATAGCATGTAACAACATGTATCTAACTATATCCACACTCGAAATCTAAGATTCTGATGGGATAGCGAAATTTGAAACAATTTATCCTGGCCCGGAACGTAAGTAGCAGCCCCGAATTCACAACAGACCTCTTCCACATCGCGCTGACCAATTAACTTTCCCCTCATATCATTGTTTCAATTCCGGCTGGCGATTTATCTGAGTAGCAAAAAGAGCCCCCCGCCTGCATACCAGTTGCGTATTTGATTATTGAAGATTCCAACCCAATACTCAAAGGACAGAATCTGAAATTTCCCAATGATGCATGGTCCAGTTGTCAGAACGGACTGGTATGAAATTTCTGATAAGAAAACAATAGACTCAGACTCCATGCAGTACGCTGCAGCAATTGGCCAGGTCTTTTTCCCGGATGATCTAAACGAAAAGATATACAAAGATCTCAATTACAAGGATGCATGTTAGTCGCACGATTTGGTTTGTTTGTCTAATTTGTCTCACAAAGGGAAGCGTGGTACTTACTATCCATGATTACCTACGCTACAGCAATCAAGGCGGTCAAGAACGACGCCGATCTGTCCTACAAAGCCGATCCGGGTTCCTGGAAAGCCCAGACGGAGCCTTTCGTCGGTGGAACCAGCGGTGGCGTTCGGTGAGGAGCTCTTTTTATACAATTCCATCCCGCAAACCCCCAATTGATTTCCGAGCTCAATCTTTCCCGTATCCTTCCTCACCAGTGCCCATGTAACAATCTCGCTGAATATCAACGCACCTCCGAAAATTGAAATCGGGAGTGCGCCTAGCCAATGTATCCCTGGAACTAATAATCTCCCAGCTAACCCTCCAGTCACCCAACCGGCACAAGAAGAACAAAGTTCCTCCGGACCTTCATTTCAACCACCTGTTGTCGCTATTATGATGATTAACATGATGCTCTTCTACAGCATGTATGGTCACGGAAGCTTTACGGAGAATGAGAACGGGAAAAGCCAGAAATGTGCCATATGAAGAAAATATTCAAGATTTCATGAAGCGCAGCTTGATTCAAAAACTGACCGAAAAACCCCTGTATAACTTTGATGCTATTGTAATCTCAGGCTTGACCAATTAGCACACGTTCAGTTTTCAGTTTTTTAGTATGGGTGAATTTTCATTCTTCGGCATGACACACAGGTTGTCAACTTAGTACTTTCTTTTCTCCTCATTTTCCGTTCTTCTTTTTTTGTAAGAGCGGGGGATTGAGTTTAGCATCTCAATTCCCTGCTAACTGCTGTTGATGGTACCTCAATTTCAACTTATGATACCCATATAAAACATTCATTTCATGCTCCTCTCCTTGTTTTTTTGATTGTAATCATTAATAGTAAATCCTGGTCTTTCAAAATTATGCAATACAGAGTCATGAAAGCTGTGTGAATCAGGAATTATCAGCTTTGATTGATCATTTCTAGTTGCAAGTTTTTACACTAGAGGGACTTTCACATTCCCTAGAATGAGATATGGACTTGTGGTGTACAGAATATTGCCTGTTTGTTTTGACTAGCCAGATCAAATGTTTGCCTGGAAGTGGAGGAATAAATGATCTCAACTGTCAGAGGTTTGATGGAGTCCTAAACATCTCTGTAACCTAGGAGTAAAATTTTGATTGTCAACAAAATTCATAAATGCACAAACATTTACAGAAGCATCAGCGGATTATTAGATTTGCCCCTGATATAGCCTTCTTGCTGAAGAACTTGTGAAACTGAGGATAAAATCTAATTTTGGATTTGACTACTCTTTCATTCCCACACAATTGATCACCTTTCTCCTGGAACAAAGCTATCATGAAAATCACAAGCAACATTCAAAAATAATTACATTACATTAATCCTTTCATTAGCAGAGTGTCAGGCTTAGAGGTCCGCAAGAGCATACAAAAGACTTCTTGATGATAAATTACAAATATTTCATCTGTGATAACTCTTCTAATATCAAGAAAACCAAGAATTTTACTTCATAAATAACCTTTTCATAAAATTCTATATGGGGTTGCTCAGTGGAATATACATCCAAAATCCCACTCCTTCTAGGAATTTTTCATAACTCAAGATCCTTAAAGTTTAGTGGGAATAGAAATATAAAATAGTTTAAAATTATAAAATGAAGATAAAAATAGGGGATTGATAAACGTACCCCCCTTTTCTGCTTTTACACTTGGTTTTTCCCAGCTAGAGATGTCGCTTGATACCCGGGTACCTGTAGCGGGTGCGGGTACCTGTTGGAATTCTCGTTGGAATTCTCCTTTTTTCTTTTTGTATCCTTTTCTTTTTCTTCTTTTAAATACTCCGCGCACTCCGCGCACTCCGCTCACTCGGCTCCCTCCTTCTTCTACTCACTCTCTTGCTCTTGCCTCTTCTTCTATCCATCTCTTCTCAATACCTGTCGTCAAACGCCTCAAACGTGCGCCTCCTCAAAACACCTCAAACTCGCCCGACTCAACACCATGGAAACAGACCTACTTGGCCATATCATCAACCACAAGCCAAACCGTCTACATACCTCAACCACAAGTCAAACCGACCTCCGTCAAGGATAAAAAGGTCGCCTTGCTCCTCAAAATTGTTCCTTCTTCCCCCAAGCAGTCTCCGCCATCACCTCGTCATCAACTCCTCACACACATTCCACTCAAAAACTAAGTCAACACTGCTCGACTCTCACCTCCAACTTTGTCATCAACTTCAACCATCTCCTTCCAACAATTCCCTTCATCATTCTCATCCAAATCCGTTTCTTCTCTTCTCTTGTTCTCTATCTTCTATCTCTCTTTTCCCTGATCGTCCAATCTCATCGTCAACAACTTCACATCCTTTCTACTTTCCCTCAACCATCTCTCATTCTCATTCCGCCGACAACTTCTCTCGAAATATTCAATTGGCTACTGCCAATTTGTTGAGAAAACAACTTCTGAATCTCTCTGAACCTCATCGACCAAAACATTAACCTGTCTGCTATTATTTTTTTCTTGTTTCAAATAGTGTTTACTATCTGTCCCTGTTTGATCTACTTTACTTCAGTCTATCTGTTCTGTCTACATCAAAAGACAAATCTTCTCGTGGTAAATTTTCTCTCTTCTTTTGCTATGCCATTCTTTTTATTCTTGTGTCTCTTATTGATTCTTGTTATTTGACTTGTCAGTTCTGGTTCTAGTTTCAATCATAATTCCTGTTTTTCATCAGTACCTGCCTCAAAAATCCAATATTTTTGACACCCGCACCTGCACCCGCACCTGCTAGGGCCGCCAGGGCGGGTACCCGGGTACCTGCGCCGGGTACCTGCAGGTACCTGGCACATTTTTGCAGGCAAATATACCCAGAAATCTCACCCTTGAATTTCTGCATGACTTGGTAAATATAAGATTGATATTCACTAGATATATGAGTAAGAATAAAATAAAAATAAAGAAATAAAGAAAAACAAATTATTCTATCACCAATTTGAATTTTATCTTCTCTCTGATCTATCTTTAGCTTTACCCTTTTGCTTGGCCTCATATGCCTTATTCAATGTCCATTGATGAAGACTGTACACCATCTTTATGACTGGAGGAATTCCTCCAGTCATCAAGACGGGGAGTGATAATCACACTCCACCCCCCTTCGCACACACACTCCAACACTCCCTTCTCTGAAGGGAGTGTGGGACTGCACTCCAATTGAAATTGGAGTGCGGGTCCGCACTCCAACCCTCTGCGCGGGCATTCCCCCAGCAGGTTGGCGTGCGGACCTGCACGCCAATTGTGATTGGAGTGCGGTCCCACACTCCCCTTCTGAGGGGAGTATGGGAGTGTGCATGTGTATACTTTATACATATGTACATATTCCCTGGGCTATCCCATAGGACCCAGGCCTGGGTCTTATGGGATAGCCCAGGGCTTGAGCCGTTGAGGCCGTTGAAAAAAGAAAAGAAAAGGACCTGGGGCTCCCAGCCCCAAAAGATTGTACAGTCTTGGGGCCGGGAGGGGTTCCTCCCGGCCTTGAGATTGTACATGGCTCAAGGCCAAGAGGAATCCCTCTTGGCCTTGGAAATTTCTCCAGTCTCAAGCGTCGGAGGAATTCCTCCAACCTTGAGGCAAAGCTCACACCGCCGGGAGGAAGCCCTCCCGGCGAGCTAATCTGAACACCCTCTCGTCGGGAGGGATTTGAAGAAAAACAGGATTTATTATTGAAACTAGAACCAGAACTATTAACAAAAGAACACAATTTGTTAGAAGAATTTCAACAGAAAAAGAAAAAGCAATAAAAACAATAAATGATTTCTGAGAAACAGGAGGAAATTTACCACGAGAAGACTTGTTTTTTGAGTTAGACAGAACTGAAAGACTGAAGTAGATGATATCAAACAATGATATATAATAAACACTTTTTGAGAAGGAATTTTAATGAGAGAAAAAAAGTCAACACGGAGTCAATTTTGAGAAGAAAGTATCCTATAGATTTTCTCACCAAATTGGCAAAAGCCAGATGAGAATTTCGAGCGAGAGAGTTGGAGGAATGAGGATAAGAGGAGGATGAGTCGACGTTGAGATGATGTGAATTCGTCGTCGATGAGATTGTGCGAGTAGATTTATGAGAGAGAGAAGATAGAGAAATAGTGAGGAGAAGAAGCGAAGTCGGAGTGAGGCGAATAGCGGAATCGTTGGGGAGTTATTGGATGAGATGTTGAGATTGTTAGGCCGAGCAGTGTTGGCAGGGGTATAGGATGGAGGAAGTAGATCAATGTCTTGAGGATAAGTTTCGAAGACTGCTGGGGGAAAGAAATGTGAGGAGTTGCCTGCTTTATTTATAGATGATCGGTTTGAGGTTCGACTTGTGGTTGCGAGTCTTCGATCGGTCATTGTCCAACTTGTGTTTGATGGCTGGATAGGTTTCGATCGGAATACTCGTTTCAGGAGGAGGCTTTTTGAGGCTTGACGATGTATCGAGGACGTGAGACGAGTATGAGTGTGAGGTGTGATTTGATTGTATTTGGAGAGAGTGTTTTATGGATGAGAGAGAGAGAGAGAGAGCGAGATAGAGACAGATGAGAAAAAGAAGAGCGGTGTGGTAACCCATACCTTTCCATATCATCTATTATTTTACTGTACATTCACTGGGAATTGTTATAATATTACTACAGAATCAGATTCTACACCCCTTTTTACCTATAGTCACTCACTCAAGTCATATCTCATTTCTTACTGGTTCCTTAGTTATTTGCAGTTTTAGCTTTACAGATATTATTCTTTACATTTACATTACACATTAACTACATACAGTACATATTTACAGGTTACCACATACATCATATTTTTCTCAAGTATTATTTTCTTACATATATCTCTTCACATTACATCAGCCACACTCCTTTACAAGTACTTCTTTTCACATTACATACTACATATATTTTCTCAAACACACTCCTTACAATTATGCTTTCTCATATGCCTTCAGGATAACAGTAGTACACTCTTTCACAGTCTTTATCTTTTGGGATTGTTTTTCTTTACTCATCCTCCCTTTTGATTGTTTACTCTTCACATCTCTTGTTCTACATTTGTACATTGTGCTCCCATAGCCAGACTGACTGTAACCTGTGCTCATTTGTACCCTGAAGTATATATACAGTCTTCTTATCATTTTTGTACACCCCTTATGCATTTTCTCCCCTACAGATATTATTGTGCCCCTCAGATAAAATCTATTTTTTTACTTTCAGAACTCACTTTAGTGACCTTGCCCTGTTTAGGTGCTTGCCCCAGAAATACCTTTACACTCAGTGTCCTCAGAGCTCTGCTTTATTTACAACTCTCATAGTCTCACTTCTTCCCCTGTAGGTTGATAAGGAACAACCTCATCAGTTATAGCAGTCTAAGAAATAGATAGAAATTAGCCACACCTCTTCTTTATTTTCTTAATGTAACCCTCTCTCCTCAGCATTAGTCTCAGAGGGCAGCCTCATCAGCACTTATAGCTTAACTTACATTACTAGTAGTGTAGTTTGCTATTTCCCCTCTAAGCTCTGTTCTGGTTGTTCAGCAGTTCCACAAGTGGTGTCCCAACAGTGGCCTGATTTCCTTTGGATTTAGTCCTAGTTACCTATAACTATCAGTTTGCAGTACTTTTCACTTACCTCCCTCACCCATCCCATTCCTCTTGAAGTACATTTGTAGTTCTTTTAAACCTATTAAATTCACAAAACATATCGGCTTTCCCTCCTTACTATTATTTTTTTCTTCTTTTCCACCTTGGCAATAAACCTTTAGTAATTACACTTCTCTAGAATCTTCTTTTACAACCTTTTTTTTCCTTCACCTACTTTTACTATGTCCAACCCTCCTCAACTCTCACCCTTGGACCTTTCCAACTTGGAGCACCTTGCCAGCACCTACCTTGGACAGACTGCCACCAGAAACCCTTGGCAACCCACTAACCTTGAG